GTTGCCCAGGTGGGTCTCGAACCCGCGGGCTCAGGCAATCCTCTCATTTCCACCTCCCAAAGTGCTGGGATTACAGAGATGAGCCACCACGCCTGGCCGAGCATCAACCTTATTGCTTGTGAAACTATACATGTAAAATGTTTTTACTTTATTTTTTTAAATTTTGAGTTGGAGTCTCACTCCATTGCCCAGACTGGAGTGCAGTGGCCGTTCCTGGCCACCGCAGCCTTGACCCGCTGGGCTCCGGCTATCCTTCCACCTCAGCCTTTTGAGTAGCCGGAACTATAGACGCACACTACCACACCTGGCTGATTTTTTTGATTTATTGTAGAGATGAGGTCTCGCCAAGTTGCCCAGGCGGGTCTCAAACCCTCGGGCTCAGGCAATCCACTCACCTCAGCCTCCCAAAGCGTGGGATTACAGGCTGAGCCACCAAGCCCAGCTGAGCCAATTTTTTTTTTAAGGGATGGAGCTTCTCTCTGTCACCCAGGTTGGAGTGCAGTGGTGAACTCATAGCTCACTGCAACCTCAACTTCCTGGGTTCAAGTGATCCTCTCATTTCAGCCTTCTGAATAGTTGGGAATACAGGCCTGAGCCACTGTGCCTGGCTACTTTTTAAATTCTTTTGTAGAGAAGGGATCTTGCTATGTTTCCCAGGCCAAAACAAAATTTTTTTTGACCTGGAGTCTCACTCTGTTGCCCAGGCTGGAGTGCAATGGGATGCTCACAGTGACTGCAGCCTCAAACTTCTGGGCTCAGGCAATCCTTCCACCTCAGCCTTCCAAGTAGCTGAAGCTACAGGCACAATTTTTTGGATTTATTGTAGAGATGAGGTCTCACCAAGTTACAGGCTTGAGCCACCATGCCCAGCCCAAATATCTTTATAATTTCTTTTCCATTTGTGTTCTTCCTCATGTTGTCCCCAAGATGATATTGCTGGGTCAGAGTTTTATGGTATTAACACACATTTACAGATTTCTCTCTAAAAACATCTCACAGCCGGGCTCGGCGGCTCAGCCTGTAATCCCGCGCCTTTGGGAGGCTGAGGTGAGTGGATTGCCTGAGCCCGCGGGTTCGAGACCTGCCTGGGCAACTTGGCGAGACCTCATCTCTACAATAAATCAAAAAAATCAGCCGGGCATGGTAGTGCACGTCTGTAGTTCTGGCTACTTGGAAGGCTGAGGCGGAAGGATAGCCTGAGCCCAGCAGGTCAAGGCTGCAGTGGCCAGGAGTGAGACTCCAACTCAAAATTTAAAAAAAATAAAATAAAAAATAAAAACATTTTACATGTATAGTTTCACAAGCAATAAGGTTGATGCTCGGCCGGGCGTGGTGGCTCACCTCTGTAATCCCAGCACTTTGGGAGGTGGAGGCGAGAGGACTGCCTGAGCCCATGGGCTCGAGACCAGCCTGGGCAACTTGATGAGACCTCGTCTCTATTATAAATTTAAAAAATTACCCAGGTGTGGTGGCACTTGCCTGTGGTTCCAGCTACTTGGAAGGCTGAGGTGGAAGGAATGCCGGAGCCCGTCAGATTGAGGCTGCGGTGGCTGTGAGTGTGCCACTGCACTCCAGGCTGGGTGATAGAGTGAGACTCTGACTCAAAAAATAAATAAAAAAATAGCCGGGCTTGGTGGCTCAGCCGGTAATCCTGTGCTTTGGGATGCTGAGGTGAGTGGATTGCCTGAGCCTGCAGGTTTGAGACCCACTTGGGCAACTTGGCAAGACCTCATCTCTACAATAAATCCAAAAATTAGCCAGGCGTAGTAGCGCGTGCCTGTAGTTCCAGCTACTTGGAAGGCGGAGGCGGAAGGATTGCTAGAGCCCAGCAGGTCGAGGCTGCGGTGGCCGGGAGCGGCCACTGCACTCCAGTCTGGGCGACAGAGTGAGACTCCAACTCAAAATAAATAAATAAATAAAAATAAATAAATCAATAAATCAGTCAATAAATAAAATCAATCTTTCACTTCTAAAAGTTTTATTGGATTCTTCTTCAAATCTACTTGGTCATTTTAATGCTCTTATTTCTTTCTCATAGTCTCAAGTTTCCCCCTTTTTAAAAATTTTTTTGAGTCAGAGTCTCACTCTCACCCAAGTTGGAGAGGAGGGCATGCTCACGGCCACCAAAGCCTCGACCTGCTGGGCTAGGTGACCCTTTTGCCTCAGCCTTCCAAGAAGCTGGAACCACAGGCATGTGCCATCACACTTGGCTAATTGTTTGATTTATTGTAGAGAGAAGATCTCGCCTAGTTGCCCAGGCTGGTCTTGAACCCATGGGCTCAGACAATCCTCTCACCTTGACCTCCCTAAGTGCTGGGATTACCGGGGTGAGCCACTGCAGCAGGTCCCTTTAGTTTCTTAAAACATACATTACATTCTCTGTGTGGTGACGCCAACATCTTCAGTTTTTGCAAGTCTGTTTTGCCTGCTGTTGCAGTGTTGGCTCTGGCTCACAGTGTCTTACTTCCTTGTATATCTGTAACTTGGTGGCTGTGAGTTCACGTTCCTTGAGACTTTGCCTGTGGAAGTTCTTGGAGGCGTGGACTAAAGCCGAGTGCCTCCAAAGATGTGTCTTCTTCTGTCCACGCTTTCAACTGGATTCCACTTCAAAATCAACCCCCTGCTCCAGGTTTTTCGCCTCAGGCCTCACACCCACATTAGAGCAGCTTTGTCACCAACGCTCGCGGAGGACTTCTCCATCCAGCGCACCGAGGTCAAGACAGGCAAGGCTCTTTGCCGCCCTTCCTCATGACACATGCACCTCCTCCCCTCCAGCCTGAGAGTACAGCTGTTTGGAACCAGCTTCTTGGAGGGGCTCTCCTGTTAGTGTCTTCATGCCAGTGGGCTGGCCTTGTTTCTGGTCTCCACTACCGCACACTACTCAAACTGATGGCTCGGGTTCACCGAATTGGGTTTGCCAGACACTCTTTTTTGTTTGTTTGTTTTTTTGTTTTTTTGTTTTGTTTTGTTTTGAGTTGGAGTCTCACTCTGTCGCCCAGACTGGAGTGCAGTGGCCGCTCTCAGCCACCGTAGCCTTGACCTGCTGGACTCCGGCAATCCTTCTGCCTCAGCCTTCCAAGGAGCAGGAACTACACGGGCGTGCTACCACGCCTGGCTACTTTTTTTGGGGGTTTATTGTAGAGATGAGGTCTCGCCAAGTTGCCCAGGCGGGTCTCAAACTTGCAGCCTCAGGCAATTCACTCACCTTGGCCTCCCAAAGCACAGGAGGCCGAGCTCTTTTGTTTTGTTAATTGGAGTCTCACTCCATCACCCAGGCTGTTTGCAGTGGCATACTTATGGCCACCCCAGCGTTGACCTGCTGGGTTCTGGTGATCCTTCTGCCTCAGACTTCCAAGTGACTGGAACTACAGTTGCGTGCTACCACAGCTGGCTAATTTTTAAATTTCATTATAGAGATGAGGTCTCGCCAAGTTGCCTGGGCTGGTGGCAGAAACTCTTAAGGCAGAAGCTGACATCAAGCTCACTTCTGCCAGATCACTGTTCTCACTGTGCTTTGAACTCAAGAATCTCTTGCCAACTCAATGCTTTTGAAAAGACACTTCTATTTTTGTCCAGCTCTGTGGTCATTTCCACTGGGACTTTTACTGCCAGATCCCTGACGTGGAGGGCTGGATGTTTTCCTAGTCAGCCCTTTCGCTGGGCCGTGTCCTTTTGAGGGTTTCACACTAGCCTGGTGATCTCGGCTCCAGCCGCCTACCCTGTAGGGGCCTGGACTTTGTCTTCTCTCCTGGGCAGCTAAGACCCGTGGATCTATACCGCCCACTGGTGCTGGTGGACAGCTGTGACTTAAGCATCCTTTTGACCACTGGGGCTCACAGACACCAACAAACTGTGTGCACTTACCGCATGTGTTGGGGCTGGTCACATGCACAGAAACATGAAGACAGGTTCTGTGACCCCCCAAGAAGCTTCGTCTTCTTGTGGGCTTCCATGGGCTGCGGTGTCTTCCTTGAGGCAGCTCAGAATGGCAGAGTTTGGGTTTACCTTCCCATACACCGGATGCTTACCTGCTCTGCCCCTCATCCCTTGGGAAACTGCTGTCTGCCCGGCAGTGATTCTGAACCTTGTTAGGGTCATGGGAGTCTTGGAGAATCTGCTGAAAGCTACGAGCCCCCCTTGAGGACGGCCTGGGGCCAGCCAGAGTGTCAGCGGCCATGCTGGACCATTCCTGGTCCTCTGCTGGACCATCAAGCATCTGGTTTTTCTTCCTGGAGATGGGCTTGGGCCTCCGATCTCGGCTCTGGTCTGCATCTGCTTTCGCAGGAACTCACATTATCTGCACACAACACTGGGGCTCAGCAGAAAGGTGCACCCTGTTTCTGGCTTGTCTGTGCTGTGACCATGTTCATAGTTGAGCGACCGTTGCTGCCAGTGGACCTGTGCACTGCATGTCAGAGGGAAGGTTTTGTTCCATTATAGTGGGCTCTGGCCTTCCCACTGCATTGAGCAAGCAGCAACTCCTGGCCACACTGGTTGACCCTGACGTGCTAGGTTTTCGGTCTCTCCTGAACTTAGACCAGTTCAAGAGGTCTCAGCCTCTTTTGACTTGCCCTTCAGTGGTTTTCGTAAACGCACTGGTCATCTGCTTCCTTTTTGGTCCCTCTGCTGACATGCGGACCCTGTGACTGCGTTTCTAACCGAGCCTTTTCCTGAGACCCTCTTCACTTCTTCCTGTGTGTCAAACTGTGGTGGAACCAGACGCTGCACCTCGGAGCACCTTGGGCTGGCAGACTGGGCAGAGTGTGGGGAGGGGTCCCCTGCCCAGCGCTGCTCCCACAGGCAGGTCCACTTTCGAGAGCGGGTATGGGGCGGCATGCAGTTCGAGCACAGCTCTGTGGGGGATCACCGACATCTGCGTGTGTCCTCCCTGGCTGGAGTCCTGCCACCAAGGCTGCCGGGGGACTGCTTCCAACCCAGCCATCCCGACCCTGTGACAGACGCCTCCCCCACTTCTGTTTCTAGCTTCAGTTCCAGGAAGGATGCTACCTCTGACCATGTGTGTGTTCTTGCTGCTGCTGCCGCCCCTGGGTCAGGCTGCTCCCAAGGACGGAGCCACCAGGTAACAGGAGAGGCGGGCAGGGCCCTGGGCTGGGAGCCAGGCCTATCTACAGTCTCTGGGGCAGCCTCCCCTGAGAGACAGGAGACCAGGGTATCAGCTCCCTGATCTCTGCCCTCCACCCCAGTTTCCTGACTTGTGCCCGTCAGAGAGCCAGAGTGGGCCTGCAACTCTTGCTGCCGGACCCACATGGACACGGGGACCTCAGCTGCAGCAGGCACAGGGAGTGGCTGTGCCCTGGAAGGGGTGGCCATGGGGCCCGGGAGGGGGCGGCCATGCTATCATCTTGACAACTCACGGTGGGAACGCCAAGAAATGGAGCTCGCCAGCATTTTGTTTTATTTGAGCATCTTTCTGAAGGTTTTCTTTTTTATTTATTTTTATTTTTAATTTTTTGAGTCAGAGTTTCACTCAGTCACCTAGGCTGGAGTGTAGAGGCACACTCACGGCCATTGTAGCCTTGACCTGCCGGGCTCAGATGATCCTTCCATCTCAGCCTTCCAAGTAGCTGGAACTACAGACTCACGCCACCACACCCAGCTAGTTTTTGATTTATTGTAGAGACGAGGTTTCACCAAGTTCCCCGGGCTGGTCTGGAACCCCTGAGCTCAGGCAGTCATCTCGCCTCAGCCTCCCACAGAGCTGGGATGACAGGCTTGAGCTACCGTGCCCGGCCTGGTTTTATTTATTAACACAGCGTGGTGGGTGTGCCAGGCAGGAGGCAGACAGCGACAGGAGCAGCAGCTCTCTGGCACTGGTCTGGATGGACCCCGGCCAGAGCTGGGAGCACATCTTGAGGCTGAAAGACGACAAAGAGACCTCAAGCAGACTGAAGCCCCCAAGTCGACATACCTGCCCCCTGCTTATAAGAGCTGACTTTGTGTCAGGGAGCAAACTGGGTCTGTGAAAGACTGGGCAGTGCCCCTGGGCCCAGCCAGAGCCCTGCTCCTTGGCTCTTGGCCTCCAAGGATGGGAGGCTCTTGGACATCAAGACCCGTGGTGTCCTGCCACGCACCAATGTGTGTCCACTGGGTGTGGCCTGACCTGGCCTCTACCTAACTGGATATTTTATTTGGGTTCCTCCTAAAGTCTAAGTCAGGCAGCTGCAAAAACAGAGTCTGAGGGAGGAAGGTCTTGCCTCCAACGAGGCCAGAAGAGCCTCCTCTTCCAAGGCTTTTGGGAGTCCGGGGAGAGCTCCCTTGTGTCAAGGGGGAGAACTCTGCAGGGCAGGCCCTGTGTGAAATGGCCCCTCCCCTCCTCCAGGCTGGCCTCCGGAGTGCAGCCTCAGCCCGTGTCCCACCCCTTCCAGCCAGGTCAGGAGCAGCTCCGGTGAGTAGGGCCCGGCCTGGGCGGGGGTCAGGCCTGGCTGCAGATCGCCACTCCTTCTCACTCGCTGCCTCCCGACAGACTTCTGCAGCGCTACCTGAAGGGTCTGCGGAGGACGGAGGAGGAGCCGGAACAGCTGAGCCGGGAGCAGGGTGAGGGGCTGGGTGGAGGTGGGGGTGAGGTTTGGTACCTCAGCGCCTCCCGCCCGGCCTCTCCTCACCCAGCGTCTCTGCCCCAGTGCTCCTCTACCTCTTCGCCCTCCATGACTTCGACCAGAGCGGCCAGCTGGACGGCCTGGAGCTGCTGTCCATGCTGATGGCCGCTCTGGCCCCCGGAGCTGCGGACACACCCACTGACCCGGTAGGCTCTGTGGACCAGCCTCTACTCTCCTGGGAGGGAGGCCAGAGTCTGGGGCTTTCATCATGGCTCTTTGTGGAATCCTGGTAGAAGGCGGACTTGGAGCTGGCATGGCAGGGATGCAGGCAGGGGTGCAGGGCATGCCTCTGGCCACTGGAGGCCATCCGAGGCCACTGGAGACCCACCGTGATGCTTGCTTCCATAGGTGGTTCTGGTGGTGGACCAGGTGCTCGAGACCCAGGACCTGGATGGGGATGGGCTTATGACCCCCGCAGAGCTCATCAACATCCCAGAAGAGATCCCCGGGCACGCAGAGCCCAGAGAGCCCTCAACCCCATCTCCCCCAGAGACACATGCTTCGGGGAGGCAGTCACAGTTCACTAAGGGCTCCTCGGGACAGACACAGGAAGCCCTGGGTCCCGCAGGAGCTGCTGGGGCCCAGGCAGAGGCCAAGAGGGCGCCCATGGAGTCTGTCCAAGAGGGCGGGGGACAGGCAGAGGCTGCAGGAGAGGCCCCGGGTCCCAGAGGGGAGGCTGGGGGACAGGCGGAGGTCAGGGACAAAGGAGAGGAAGCCACACAGCTTCCAGAGGAAACACTGGAGCCCGAGAACAACCCAGCTGAGCCTGCAGCCCACAGCATTCAACTGGAGAATGACGAGATTTGAGCTCTGGGGATGCAGACATGCACCCCTCGAAGTTCTGGTGTCAGAACATAAGTCCAGGGGGTTGGGACAAAGATATCTGTGTCCCCTTTCTGGCCCCAGTGGGTGTCAGGTCTTCCTGTGCAGCTCAGAGAGACCTAGTTGAGGGGCAGCTTTAGGGCTTAGACAAGCAATAAAGAATGGAACAAATTCATCCCTGGCCCCTCTATCTGCCCGCTCAGGCTGCCCAGACCCCCAGGGGCACCGGGACTAGGACTGCACAGCCTCCTGGGGGACAGCATTCTGCTTCCCTGGTGTGCTGGGGTCCAGGGCGCAGCAGGGTCTACAGTGCCAGCCACAGCCAGCTGCAGGTGACCCATGAAGAAAGCATGCCGCATCCCTGGGGCCAGACACTCTCCTGTCCCTTTACCTGCTGTCCACCAGGTGTGCTTCCCCCAGCTCAGGGCAGATGGTCCCCCCCACCCTGTATCTGCCCACCTCCAATACTATTAACATTCACTGCCCTAGCCTGGGCCACTTGGCAAGACCTCGTCTCTAAAATATATCAAAAAATTATCTGGGCGTGTGGCACATGCCTGTAGTTCCAGCTACTTGGAAGGCTGAGGTGGAAGGATTGCTGGGAGCCCAGCAGGTTGAGGCTATGGTGGCCGGGAGCGTGCCCCTGCACTCCAGCTTGGGTGACAGTGAGACTCCAACTCAAAAAGAAATGCTGCCATTTCGTGAGAGCCTTGTATACACCCGGCACCATGCGGGGCATTTTATATATTATCTGACCAGGCAGGATTCGATCCATTTGACAGACGAGGACATTGAGACAGACTGAGTTACGTGTTGTCCCGTGATGCAGGGCATGGCTTTAGAGTCCAGTCTGTCTGACTTAAAGCCTGTACTCTTTGTCAGCCAGCAGGCCTTCCCCACCCTGCCCCAAGTCCACATGGGAGAGTCCCCAGCCCCCAATTCTGCACGCCCTCCCTGAGGACAGCAGCCTGTGTCCTGTGTCACCTGAGGCAGGCTCCAAGGCCTGTGAGCTCTGGGAGAGTCCGTGGGAGGACAGTGTCCTAGATAGCAGAGGCCCCACCACGTCCGAGGCTCCCTGCCCGCTGCCGGTCCCTGCGGCTCAGCCATGGGCACCTGGACTCTTTGGAAGGTTCACTGGGGTGGGGGAGCCAGGAAGGCTGAGGGTTTCCCCCTACCACAGGGAGCATAGTGCTACCTGCGCTCAGGTGACAGGAGGCCGGGCACTTCCTGCTCCTCGCCCAGGCAGCCACTCCTCGAGGCCTGGCAGGTAGGTTGATTTGGGAGTGGACACAAAGAGGGAGGACTGTCAAAGCCCCGGGAACCCCCAGCCAGAGAAATTCAGACATCCACAAGGACAAGCAGCTGACGGAGGGAGCTGGCTCCAGGGAGGAATGTTTATTTGTGCTGGGGCTCAGCCAGAAGAGATGTGAGGGGGCACAGGACACAGGCGGAGTCCCACGGTCTGCATCTGCCAGCAAGCAGGGCAGCCCAGATGCCAGGCTGGATGGAGGAGGGAGGTGGCGGCAGCTGTGACGCCAGCCTGGGGTGGGGACTAGTGCCACCTGGCTCTCACACGATGCCATCAAAGCCCTGCAGGCCACACTTCTTGCCAGCCACCTGGCAGCCAAATGTCAGGGCCTCCTGCACGCTCCTCCCTGGAGGAGGGACAAGTAGCTGGGTAGCCAGCGTTCTGAGCTGGGCAGGCCCCAGCCCACCCTTCCTGCGGGTGCTCCTCCCACCTGTGGGGTGCTCCTCCCTTCTGTGGGGTGCTCCTCCCCCTTGCTGGGGTGCTCCTCCCTCCTGCCGGGTGCTCACCCCTCCTATGAGGGTACTTACCCTGGGAGAGACTGAAGATGACTGAGGCATTGAAGGTGTCTCCAGCCCCCAGGGTGTCCACCACGCGGGGCGGTGGGAAGGCATCCGAGTGCAAGACTTTGCCGTCTGGGCCCAGCGCGTCGGCACCTTTCTCAGCCCAGGCACAGATCAGCACAGCCCTGCAAGACTACTCCGCTCAGCGCTTGCCCGCTGGCTGCCCAGACCCTCCAGGGCAGGCCCAGCACCCAGGCTCCACCCCCAGGGACTCTTCCCGCCGTCCGGCTCACCCTTTCCTCACACGGCTGTACAAACCCCTCAGGGCTTCCCTGGCTGACCTGAACCCCAAGTGCTGGGCCACGTCTTTGCTGACAAACACCTGCGGGCAGTGCGAGAGTGGCCAGCCGTCACCTAGACCCCAGCCACTGCGACAGCAGCCTGGCGTGACTCCCCTGACGCGGCGCCCACTGTCCCCAGGACTTGCTTTTCTTTGTGCTTAGTGCTGGCCAAGCACAGCCCTGCGAACTGTGACACAGAAGCCCTGGCCCTTCAGGTCTAGGACCAAGGGGCTGAGAATGGGAGAGTACTACCTTGGGGTGAAATCCACCCTCCAAGGGCCACGGGGCTCAGAAGGTTTGTGCTTTGTTTCCCGTACACAACTCTAGTCTCCAGGTCTGGTTTCTTGGTCTGCAAGGCAGAGGAATCTCTTCACACTAGCCTCACGCCAGACGCTCCAGAGAGAGTTTTGGTAAAAATGCAAAGCCCTGGCTCTATGTGAACAAAACAGGAGACCGCCAGGCTCGGTGGCTCAGCCTGTAATCCCGTGCCTTTGGGAGGCTGAGGTGAGTGGATTGCCTGAGCCCGCGGGTTTGACACCCGCCTGGGCAGCGAGACCTCATCTCTACCATAAATAAAAAAATCAGCTGGGTGTGGTAGCGCATGCCTGTAATTCTGGCTCTTGGGAGGCTGAGGCGGAAGGATCGCCGGAGCCCAGCAGGTCGAGGCTGCGGTGGCCGGGAGCGGCCATTGCACTCCAGTCTGGGCGACAGAGTGAGACTCCAACTCAAAAAAACCCAACAAACAAACAAACAAACAAACAAACAAACAAAAACAGGAGACCAGCGGCTTCAGGCATTCTTTTTTTTTTTTCTGTGTTCAAGTGAATCTCCCATCTCAGCCACGTCAGTAGCTGGGACTACAGGCGAATGCCACCATACCTGGCTTAATTTTTTTGTTGTACAGATGGGGACTCGCTATGTGACTCAGGCTTATCTCGAACTCCTGCCTCAAGCGATCCTACCACCCCAGTCTCCGTGAGCCTCTGGCCTGCACTCAAATATATATATTTTTTTCTGAGTTGGAGTCTCACTCCATCGCCCAGGCTGGAGTGCAGTAGCACGCTCATGGCCATCCTAGGGTCCACCTGCTGGGCTCTGGCAATCCTTCTGCCTCAGCCTTCCAAGTAGCTGAAACTACAGGTGCACGCTACCACACCTGGCTAATTTTTTATTTTATTGTAGAGACAAGGTCTCACTAAGTTGCCCAGGCTGTTCATGAACCCGTGGGCTCAGGCAATCCACTCACCTTGGTTTCCCAAAGTGCTGGGATTACGGGCTTGAGCCACCATGTCTGGCCTGCACTCTTTTTTTTTCTTTTGAGTTGGAGTCTCACTCCGTCACCCAGGCTGGAGTGCAGTGGCACACGCACAGCCATTCCAGTGTCGACCAGCTGGGTGCCAGCGATCCTTCTGCCTCAGCCTTCCAAGTAGCTGGAACTACAGGCACGGGCTACCACGCCGGGCTAATTTTTTGATTTATTGTAGAGATGAGGTCTCGCCAAGTTGCCCAGGCGGGTCTCGAACCCGCGGGCTCAGGCAATCCACTCACCTCAGCCTCCCAAAGGCGTGGGATTACAGGCTGAGCCACCGAGCCCGGCTACAGGCTATTTTTAACATGCAGCCAAGGTGAGGACCGATGGGCTGGATGGTCTCCAGTTCGTCTCAGCTGGGGTGCTGGGATGATCTTCCAAGTTCCATTTACATCCCGGCCATGCTCAAATCCACCTCGTGCAAGTCTCCTTCCCACCTTCCCCTCACCCCCAGCGGCTCCCAGGCTCTGCCACCCACCCCAGCTGGAAACCTCAGAGAGCAGCCCTAGGCCCTCCGTGTGCAGAGGAAAAGACTGAGGAGGCCGGGAGTAAAGGCCCCTCCACGCAGGCCGCCCTGCCGCCGTCTCGGCCCCATCCAAGCCCGCCAGTGCCTCACACTGATACGGTCACCCCGGGTGGGGTTAGTCTGCTCCTCGGCGCTGCTGAGGCCTGCACTGGAGTCCAAGGCCAGGGCGTGCCTCTGCCTTGCCACCCTTCCAACACCCTGAGCCAGGAACCGCCCTTCCAAGCGTGGCTCCCTGGAGGGCCGGATTAGACGCGTACGGCAGGGTGAGGCTGCCTGGGACCCACCACGTCTCCGTAGCCAAACAGCGGGTACAGCTCCTCCCGGGGCTTCTCCACCTCCATGGACACCCGGATCTGCTGCTCCGGGGGCTGCCCGGCGTTGTGCTCGTCTATCCGCTGCAGCATCTTTACCTGCTCCGCTGCGTTGCGGCCCTGGGGCAGGA